CCCACAAGCAGCACAGGCAGGATTTGAACGCGTGGCCATCGGAGTCCAAGCCTCGCTCTGCTCCTCGCCCCGGCCTGACTTTGGGGAGCCTGCAGCTGCGTCCCCAAGGCCGCGAGGTGGGGCAGGTCTTCGAGGAGGAGGAGCAAAGCCCAGAGGCCATGCTTCCGGCACACCCTCTCAGCTTGCACCAGGCGCTGCCGGCCCCACCCCCGCACGTGGGCAGCCACGGGTGGCTGGAGGAGCAAGCTCACGGCTGCGTGGGCCTGCTCCCGCTGGGTACTGAGCTTCTGGGGCAAGTACACAAGGCGGATACCTCGTCCCGTCTCGTTCTTGCTGAAACGCAAGCCTGCCCGCCCTCCTGCCGCGGTAGCTGGCCTGGCCTTGCCCAAGGCCCTCCCCTCCGGCGGGCACCGGCCCTCGTCCCTGCCACTCACGTGGCCGCTGCCGCGACGCCCCTCCATCGCCCTGTTCTTCGTGGGTCCACTCCCATCCGTATGCAGACAGGCTTTCTCTGTCTTAAATAAAACCAAAATAAAACCAAAACTGCCAAACAAACACCCCCCTCGGCCTCACCTCGGCCTCCAAGGCCGCCCCTCTCTTTCCTCTTCACAGCTGTGCTCCTCGACTCGCTGTGCTCGCTGCCTGGGGGGCCCCTTCCCCTCCTCGCTGAGCCCCCTCTGGTCAGACCTGCGTTCCCGGCCACGCTACCAAACTCGCTCTTGTCAAGTCACTGATGACCTTCGTGCCACAGAACCCAAAGGCCGCCCAGTCCGCACCCTGGGCTCCTCGCCAGCGACGGAGGCGGGGAGAGTTTCCATCCCCTTCCATGGCCGTGGCCGCCTCTCTGCTTCTCCGACAGCAGCGACTGCCGCTGCTCATGCCTCACCCTCGCCACACCGACGGGTCCTGTCCTCGGTGGTCTCTCCCCGTGGGCTTACCTGTTGGCTCCAGGTTTTCCTTCCAGCCCATGGAGCCCCTGCCTCGACTTCTGCTTGTGTGTGCGGAAAGCACGCCAGACTTGGCATGTCCAGAATCAGATGTCTGCTTTCCACGGATCTTCCCGATCTTGATGCATAGGGTGGGTCAGGGAAGGCCTCGTCCACAGGTTGTACAGGCCCAAGAGCCTTCCCTCTCGCTCCACCCCAACCCATAAACCGTTCCCAAGACGAACTGGAAGGCGCCCTTCCCCTCTCAGCCCCCTCCCCTGCAGCAGCCTGACCAGTCAGAGGGCACAGGACAGGTGCTGGGGAGGGAGGCCTGGGGTTCCAGGGCGGCCGCCCGGGGTGGCAGCGGCAGCACTGGCACAGGGTATTCCGCTATTTCCCAACTAGTAGAGCAGCGCTGAGGTACACCAGCTCCAGGGCCCACCCGTAGTAGAGTGGTTTAATCCTGCTTCACGAATCTCTCAATTTCTCTCACGTATCTCAATGTAGCAGAACTGTTACGAGGACGAAACCCAACAGTCCTTGTAAACGCCCTCAGCACGGGGCCTCAGAGAAAAGCCCAGCCGGTCGTGACTGCTACGATTGCTCTGGGGGCAGAAGGAGCAACAGCAAGGGAGGACTTGGGAGCCCTGGCCTGCACGTGAGGAAGGGCGTTCTACCAGCAAGCACCGCTCCGTGGGGATCAGGGGAGCAGGCAGCTGGCCAGGACAGAGCGTCGGGCAGAGGCCTGCCAGGCTGGCCCTCACAGTCCCAGGCCAGCAGTGATGCTGGCTTGTGGAAGGCAAGAGGGAAATTGTGCCACGCCACTGCGTGCAGGGGAAGGGATGGCAGGAGGGAGCGGCCAGTTCTGCCTGCCCCCTGATCCTAGTCGGGCTGTGGGCAGTGCCCACCCTGGCCTAGCTGCCGAGCATCGATGTCCTCTGCGGAAGGCCCTGGCTCCGACAAAACTCTCCGTGCATGCCTTTTCCTCTCCCTGCCCTTCTGATGTCCTCTCCTTCTTGTCCCCAGAATGAATGTGGATTCAAGCGCTCGGGGGAAGCCATGTCCAGGCCCCTCTGAGAAGACAAGAGCGCTTGTGCCTGAGGCTTGGGTGGAGGCCAGGGTAGAGACGGCCTGGCTTCCGAGGGTGCAGGGGAAGAGTCAGGCTTCTGCCCTCCGCAGGCTTGCTGGGGAGACAGGGACAGAGAGGCTGCAGAGCTGGTCCGAGGTCCCCAAGGCGGGAAAGGTCGCCCAGAGACTTCGGGCCACTGCTGCTCTCTGTGGATAGGGGAGAGATGCAAGTTCCAGGGGCTGGCTAGGCAGAGGGTGGGGCTGGGAGCCGCATGGGAAGGAAGGTCCAGACACACCGGCCCCTGTCGCAGTGGGCGGAAGATTTGGTCAGCATCCCACCCTGGAGACCTGAGGCTCAGGCCAAAACAGGAGGCAGCAGGACAGGGTGCAGGACGTGCCTGGCAGTTGAGGCCCGAGGCCTGGCTTTGCCACTAAGTCTGACCCTCGGCTAGTGGCTTCTGTATCTGCACCTCAGTTTCCACGGGTACGGAGTGAGGGCTGACGCCACGGAGTTTTGCAGCCTTCCAGCTCTAACCCAACAGAAAAAGCAGACACACCAGCACTTGAAGACCAAAGAATGAAAGCAGGACTCAGACAACACCTGTACACCGCAGTCACAGCAGCACTACTCATGGCAGCCGAAGGTAGAGCCACCAAGTACCCACTGACAGGTGCATTGTCAAAATGTGGTACATACGTACGGCGGATTCCATTCAGCTTTAAGAGGAAGGAAACTTAGAACATCCTTATGACATGGATGGACCTTGACGATACAACACTAGTTAAAATAAGGCAGCCACAAAAGGATGAATAGTGTATGATTTCACTTAACACAGCACTTACATGAGGTCTCTAGAATAGTTAAGGTTTGTGGAGACAGAAAGGACTGGTGATTACCCGGGACTGGAAAGAAGCCAGAATGGGAACTAGTGCTTAAAGTTCAGGGGATTAGTCACCAGAATATATCAAGAACTCAAACAACACAATAACAAAAAAGAAGATTTAAAAGGAGGCAAAAGACCTGAATAGACGTTTCTCAGAAAAAGATGTACAAATGGCCAGTAGGTACACAGGAAAGTGCTCACCATCGCCAGCCAGGGAAATCCAGATCAAAACCGCAATGAGATGTCATCTTACCCCAGCGAGGATGGCTTTTGTCAAAAAGACAAAAAATAACCAATGCTGGCAAGGATGCACAGAAAGGAGAACCTTGTGCACATTGGTGGAATGTAAATCAGTCCACAATGGAGAGCAGCGTGGAGGCTCCTCAGAAACAGAAACAGAACTACCCTGCGATCCAGCCATCGCACTGCTGCGCGTTTAGCAAAAGCAGAACAAGGAAACTGGCACAGCAAGGAGACACCTGCACTCCCAAGTGCGCTGCAGCACCCTTCATGACAGTGAAGATACGGAATCAACCCGAGTGCCCATCCACAGATGAGTCAAGGAGATGTGGTGCTCGTATACCCAGTGGAGTGTGATCCAGTCGTCAAAAATGGAATCCTGCCCTTGCAGCAGTGTGGACAGAGCCGGAGGTCACTGTGCTCAGCGCCACAAGCCAAGCAAGAACAACACATTTCACATGTTGTCACTCACATGTGGGAACTAAAAAAGTGGATCTCGGGGAGGGAGAGAGAGGTGGTGACAAGGGCTGGGAGGCGCAGTGAAGAGAGGTGGGCTAACGGCCATAAACACACACAGAGAAAGAATACTTGCTGGGTTTGGTCGTACAGCAGGTGATGCTAGTTAACGATGACTGATGGTGTATCTCAGAACAGCTAGGAGAGAAGCATCGTAGTGCTCCCAACACAAAGAAATAACACGTTTGAGGTGATGGGCATCCCAGTTACATGATTTGATTGCCACACACTATGTGCATGTCTCATGATAGCACATGTTCTCCCAAAGCAAGTGCAACGATGATACCTCAATTTAAAAAAAGAGAAAAAGATCGGTGGTTGCCAGGGACTGAGGAGAGAGGAGACCAGGGAGTTAGGGTTTAATGGGGACAGAGTTTCAGTTGGAAAAGTTGTGGAGATGCATGGCAGGGATGGTTGCAGACCGTGAACGTTCTGAAAACTTCAACGTGGTAAGATGGTACATCCTACGTTATAGACACGCATAGATACACACATACACAAAAGAACAAACACAGACCGCCAAGGCTCGGCCTCAGGCTCGGGGCTTCCTGACTCATGAAGTGAGAAGGCTGGGGCGAGGGGAGTCACGCGGCTGAAAACCAGGGCGAAGTGGGGTCCAAGGGCGGAGACCGAGGAGAGGGCTGGAGGCCAAGCACACCCCACGGCAGAGGTGGGGCCCAGAGGGTGAGGAAAAGCTGCTCCCAGAGCTGGGCCCCTGCCAGGGGAGATGCGACCAGGGCCCCTCCGCGTGCGCAAGGGCCCCAAGCGGCTGGCTCCAGAGCCTGGGGTCCCACACACCCAGGACAGCCTGGTTGGGGCTCTCTCTCCCAGGTCCTGCAAGGACACAGGCAACGTGGCCTCTTGCAAGAAAACAAGAAACAGGTGCGTAAGACAGTGGGCAGCCCGTGGGATTCCTCGGTGTGGAAAGCACCCAGACGGCTTCCTGAGCACACTTTGCTACTCCAGGCAAACTCACACTCAACCGGAAACACCGTATCAGAGGCAGGATTTTGCCCCCAAAGGACAATTACCAAATAAACTATGCACATCCAGAAATCATCCACTTTTCCCTTTTTTATTAGCTAGAGACATCCGTAACAGTTCATCAGAGATTCTGATCAGTGGGGAAAAAGCAAACATGACATCACTGACTTGGCAGCATTCGAGCCTCGTCTCTGCTGAATGCACATTTTGGTTTTCACAAAGCTTTTCAAGCTGTCTGCAAAATCCCTGCTCAGAACTCACCCCGAAAACCACAGGCTTCACACCACCAGCCCAGAACAGCCACAGCCCACTGCAGCCTATCAAACCCCTTGACCTTCCCGTCGAACTCCCGCCCCCGCGCAGGGCTGCCCCCAGGTCTCACCGTCCAGGATGGCCCACTGATTGTCAATCTCTGTGTGCTTCAGGTAGGAGTCTTCTATGGTGGGGTCATAGTCAGGCACGAAGATCTTCTGGAAGAACTGGATGGTGAGGGCACTCTTGCCCACGCCCCCATCCCCCACCACCACCAGCTTGTACGTGGGCAGGTTGTCGCTGGGGACCGCGCTGGTCGCCATGTCCGTCGTGGGTCAGACCTGAAGAGGCCAGACACGTGGAATAAGGGGAAGGTATCCATGTGCTTTCCCTTCTAACAAAGTAAAAAAAAAAACCCCCCAATTACAGAAAAGCTGGAAAATGAAGAAATCCAGAAGAAAGGTATCACCCCTGGTCCCGCCACCCAGGGACAATCACTGTTAGAATGATGTATGCGCCGGACTCGGTGGCTCAGCCTGTCATCCTGTGCCTTTGGGGGGCCGAGGTGAGTGGATGGCCTGAGCCCGCGTGTTCGAGACCCGCCTGGGCGGCGAGACCTCCTCTCTACAATAAATCAAAAAATTAGCCGGGCGTGGTAGCGCGCGCCTGTAGTGCCGGCTACTCGGAAGGATCGCCGGAGCCCAGCAGGTCGAGGCTGCGGTGGCCGGGAGCGGCCACTGCACTCCAATCTGGGCAACAGAGTGAGACTCCAACTCAAAAAAAAAAAAAAGAATGATGCATGCAATCATCATGTATCGAACGTCAGTTAAGCGCCAGGCCTGGTCTTAGGGCACAGTACTAAGTAAACACAGTAAACACGGTCATGTTTAACAAGCGCAGCCAGAATCCTTGCCAAAGAGGCTTTCCGAGCACCATACTCCGCCCTATGCCTGTACAGGCAACCAGGAAGGCGCCACTCCCAGAGCTGGGGTGGCAGGAGGGTTCCCTCTCACATCTTATGACTGGGATGCCAAGCCTGGGAGGCTCTGAGCCCGTGTCCGGACTTGGAGAGCACGGGGCCTTGAGAACCTCGCACACCTGGGCTCAGGCCTTCGAGGCCCCTTCTCACTCCCGCAACTTAGTGGCTCTGGCTCCTGTCTTTCTGTTGCCTTGTCCTCCACCACTTATAAGACACGCTGGAATCTTGACTGTGGGACCCCGTCTCAGCAGGGCAGGGCTGCCGGGGCACCGGTTCTCAAGCAGGGCGACTTTGCCCCCCAGCGACATTTGCCATGTCTCCACTTTGGGTTGCCAAAATGGAGTGGATGCCACAGGCTCTAATCAGCACAGCCCAGAGATCCCACGATTATCCATCCCAAAAGGTCAACAGTGTCGAGGTGGAGAAGCCCCGAGTGAAGGGGACGGGGAAGCAGCTGGTAATATAGCTCCAGGACCCTAAAGAATAACGTTCTGGATAAGCATTGGTGGTGAGGAGGGGGCAACTGCCACAGACTGGCCAGGAGGAGAGGCAGGCACTCAGAACAACAGGAGAGAGGCCAGGGTCCATGACGTGATGGGGCTGACAGTCTCCAGGACGAGGCCGACGGCGCCCAGAGTGAGGCACCAGCGGGGAGCAGGCATCAGCCGAAGAACAATTTGGAGGCCGCAGCCAAGAACCTAAGTGCCAACGATGGGCCCTGCCAGGGAGAAGCAATATCACCTCCTGAGAGGCACAACACTGGCCCTGACCCGAGGGAGGGAAAGCTTGGTCCTACTTCTCCGTGGACCAACTGAAGGAGAACGGCTGTGCCAGCCAGGAGGGGGAGTGGCTTGGGGCATGTGGAACACGGAAACTCGTGGTGTCATGCAGAGGAGGGAGGCGGCACGGCCGGGAGGACAAGGAATGGGTGCCCTGCGGGCTCTGCCACTGATTGGAAGGCATCAGGCCTCTCTGAGACATAGTGTCCCTAGCTCTCCAATTAAAGGGCTGGAGTAGACGCTTTCTATGGGATCTTTAGCCCTGAAAGAGTCTTCAGTGCCAGGTTTCGACAGAAAGGGTGTCAGCCACACACACAGAGTATGTGGTCACCCAGATGTGCACGGGGCCATGGGCGGGAGTTACTGCAGCACCTCTGCATGGAGGACTCCCCAAAGTATGGGGGAAGTGCAAGCTTTTATACACTGCGGCAAGAGTGTAAATCTGCCCGGCTGGACCAAGAATGCACCGACATAAACACACAGACATTGAACTTGGACCCACCCTCTCCCACAGCTCTGCCGCATGTGAGAACTTAATCTAAAGAGAGAACCAGAGAAGCATACGAGACGCTGAGAATGGGAGAAAATGGAAATGCACGTTCGGGGAAAAAAGTTCAAGTTTATCCTCATGGTGGAATGCCATGCAGTCATCTATGAGGGAGATATTAACTAACCTAGGAGACGTTTGTGTTATGCACAAGGAAAAGCCAGGCTGTGCAACGGTCAACCGGCTCCCACCCCAGCGAAGATGCCCACACGACTCCGCACGGCCAGGGGTGGACCCCAGCCTGCAAGGCTTGGCGGGTGGTTGGCTCTGAGGCAGATTTGAGGGCATTTTCATTTTCTCAAGGTTTCAACTTTCTGCAACAAGCCTGTATTGTATTTGTGTACTGGAAACGTTTCTCAATATTAAAATGTTCCCAACAAGATAAAACACCCAAGCCACCTGAAAAAGCTCCATTCCCTCCCACCTGAGAGATGATTTCAACTCCTTGGGGGCAGGACGGGACCCGGCAGCCCCAGAACCTGCTTCTGGCATCTCCCAACACACGGGGATGAGCTGAGGTTTTCCGAGCCAAGTCTGTGACGGCGACGGCAGTCCAAAGGAGCCAGAGGGGAGGCAGAGGGTCATGGGGCAGGGAGGG